GAATTGAAAGCCACACTAGACAAAATTAAAAGTGCCGTGGAAGGCATCAACAGCAGAATAGATCAAACAGAAGAAAGAATTAGCTCAAAGATAGTTTATTTGAACACACAGAGTCGGGAGAGAAAACGTAAGAGGAATGAGGGAAGCAAATGGAATTTCTGGGACAGCCTTAAAAAGCTACTGGGGTTCGAGAACTACTTGAGAAAACCAAATAAACAGAAAGCATATGCATAGGTACGATAACAGACCTGCCAGACCTAGAGAAAGATGCAAGTGTTTCTGCACAAGAAGGTCAGAGATCAGTAGTCATTCACATCAGTCAAGTCCACCCCTGGGCATACTGTCTTCAAGCTCTCCAAGTGCAAACATCGGGAGGATTCTCCAAGCTGCATGGAAAAGACAATACAGGAGGTGTCCCAATTCACCTGACTGCGGAAAGACCCTCCAAATCACTGCAAGCCAGGAGGGTGTGGGGTGAGCCTTTCCTGGTACTCAAAGAAAAACTGCCAGCCAAGAATGCTGTATCCAGCAAGGTTGTCTTCACTGAAGGAGAGAGAGAGTTTTCCCAGACAACAGCAGAGAGAATAATAAACACCATCGGATGTACCTTACAAGAAATAGGAATGGGAGTTCATGCTAAAGAACAGAATCGGCGTGGGTTCCAGCAGCTGGGTGGGAACAGCAGTAGCAGCGGCCACACAGCCCAGCTCGGCAGAGCCTCCTGGCATGGAAAGGCCGCAGGCATCCTGCACGCACCCCCCCCCCCCCCATGGAGACATCCAAGAGAAAGGTCTGTGCAAAGGAGGAGCCCAAGAGGAAGCTTGAAGGCAAGAAGCAGCCCAAGAAGGCAGCTGGGAAGCATAGGCCGTCCAACAACGAGAGTGCATGCACGAAGGAAGAGGAGCAAAGGGAAAACAGGACGAGCCGGCACACCCAGACAATGGGGAAACTGAAAATGATGATAGTCCAGCTGTGTCTTATCAGGGGTCCTTGGCTCCCTTCTTGTACAATCCAGAGGAATATTTTTTTATCAACTATTTTGTGAATGCAGGTTTTTAGTAGACACATTTTAAGAAGGGTGCCTCCTTAATGCAAATGATTGTTTTAAGAGGTGAAATTATTTGCTGGTTGTTCATTTTTTGGTACAACCAGAATTATGTGAGGCTTTGGGTGTCTTGGGTGTCACCTTACCATTCCATAGTTGGGGTGGTTTTTATATCCTATAATACAACACACACTAAATGGCAATCTGGAGTCACATGTATGCATTTAATCTGTCTTGACTACTTTGTTAACGTCTCCCATGTTGTTTAGAATTGTTTCCTACAGAGACCCTCTTCTTGTTCTGTAGGAACCATGTGTGCTCTGTAACATCTTTGGTTGTGGTTGTCCAGTTTTCCTAATGATTTTGTTAATGTGCTGTGAAAAAAATATGTGTCAGGTTCTTAAAAATTTTAATTTATATTAGGCAAACAAATGTCATGTATTTCACGTGTACAGTTTTAAGAGCATAATACTACTTTGCACCCTACCCTCCCCCCTCCTTCCCTCACTTCTGTACTCCATCCTCCTTCCTTATTTTTCTTTTATTTCTTACAATGACATTATTTCAACTTTTTAATTTTTTCAAAGATTTATTTATTTGAAAGGCAGAGTTACAGAGAGACTGAGAGAGATCTTCCATCTGCTGGTTCACTCCCCAAATGGTTGCAACAGCCAGAGCTGGGCTGATCCAATGTCAGGAGCCAGGAGCTTCTGCCAGAAGCCACTTACCTTTTCCTGGCAGGGTGGAATCCTTCAGCCAGGCAGCTAGTGCAGGAACTGCAGTGCATGGTTCTTCCTGCTGTGCCGGCCGTCAAATCTCTGTGCAGTTTAGGGCCCACGCCTTTGTGACTGCGGTTTGCCTTCAGTCTCCCAGGAACACAGCCCTTCCTTGGCTGTCCTGGTTCTGCTCTGTGGCAGGGGCCAGTGCAGCCTCTCCGTTCAGCCACGCAGATCCCCTGCTGCCCTTTCCTTTTGATTCCAATGACTGACTTCAGATTTCCTGCAGCGAAGGTCTAGTGATACCAAACTCTCCCATCTTTTATCTGGGAATGTCTTAAAGTCTCCCTCAAATTTAAAATAACAAAGTATTTTGATTGAAATTATTATTTTTTTCAGCCATTTGAAAGGATTATCCAACTGCCATTGTGGCTTTTAAGGGTTCTGATGGGAGTTCTACCAATGATCTGAGAATAACTTGTATATGATGACTCACTTCTTAAGATGCTTCCAAGATATTCTCTTTGTTGTTGACTCTCAACAGTTTCATAATAGTGTGTCTTGGTGTGGGGCTCTCTGAACCCATCCTATGTGGAATTCGTTAGCCTTGTATTTAATGTCACGTCTTCCATCAGATCTGAGGTGTTCTCCTCGGTTATTCAGGGGACCTCTCTGCCTCATCTCTGCCGTCGTTCTGTGCTCCCACAGTGCATGTTTTCATCTGCTTGATGTTGGTCCACAGGTCCCTTAGCTTCTTTTCATTTTTTTTAAGATTTATTTATTTATTTGAAAGTCAGAGTTACACAGAGAGAGGAGAGGCAGAGAGAGATAGAGAAAGGTCTTCCATCTGATGGTTCACTCCCCAGTTGGCCACAATGGCCGGAGCTGCACCGATCTGAAGCCAGGAGCCAGGAGCCAGGAGCCAGGAGCCAGGAGCCAGGAGCCAGGAGCTTTCTCTGGGTCTCCCACATGGGTGCAGGGACCCAAGGACTTGGGCCATCTTCTACTGCTTTCCCAGGCCATAGCAGAGAGCCAGATCGGAAGTGGAGCAGCTGAGACTTGAACCGGTGCCCATATGGGATGCTGGCACTGCAGGCCAGGGCGTTAACCCATTGTGCCACAGCGCTGGCCCCGATTCTTTTCATTTTAATCTGATTTCCTTTCCCTTCTCCTCAGACTCTGTCATTTCAATAGCCTATCATCAAAGTCACTGATTTTTTTTTCTTCACCTTCTCAAATCTGCTGTTAAATCTCTCTGGATATTTTTCCTATTTTATTATTGTTTTCAGTTCCAGAATTTATTTTTGTTCCATTTAAATATTTTCTTTCTCTTTACTTTTGTTTCCATTTGGTTGGTATTTGTCTTCTTGGCTTTCTCTGTGTCTTAGCTCTTTGAGGATCGTTTAGGAAAACTGTTTTAAGCTCTGTGTCTACTAAGTTGGTCACCAGGTTTTTCTCAGATAAAGTATCTGTCAACTTATTTTTGCCTTTCAATTGTTCAGGCTTTCCTGCTTTTTAAAAAATACTTTTTGAGTTTTTATGAGAAACTGGACATCAAGTCTTTTAGTGTCCTAATTGTGGAGTTTCAACTCTGTTCCCTGCCAGGGATTTTGTTTTGCTTCGTGTCTTCATTGCTGTGGACTGTGGCTCTCCTGGGAGATCACTTACGGTCAGTATACCCATCCATGGGCAAAAGCAGCAGTCAGCAGTCAGAACCCAGATCCTCAACAGTGGGAGGACAGGTTCTGGGTTTCCCACGATGGCTCCTGTGAGCTCAGTGCAGGCTGCTCTGGGAACACCTGCATGGCTGCCTGGTGGGGTTTGGTGGTGGGCAGCTGGTACTATGTTAAGAGCGTGTCTGAAATGCACTGCAATTTACCATTCAAATATTTCCCTGGAAATTGCAAGCCTTCCAATAGACCGTGAGGGCCTTTCTCGTAAGGCATTTTCAACAGCTCAGATGATAAAACAGACAATTTTTTGGTGTCAGGCATTGAGTTCTACTCTTATTATGTTTTTTAATCCTCTAAAAATTTTTCAGTTTCATCAATAAGTACAACTTTTTGATGTAATGTTGATTTTGACTCAACATTAGGAACAGCTGAGAGATCCCTGGCCAGATGTTTGTAAGTAGAGGCTGGACGATCATCTTTCAAACATCACATGTGAAAGAAGTCCCACATGGAGTAGAAAATCATATATTCTGTCAGATCTTTTATAACCCATACTCTGAACTCTAGGGTTCTTTAAAGAAATACATGCATTATAGAGAAGGAAAGTTGATAAAATGAGATGAAAGGCTGCCCTTCACCGAGGTCTCATATGCACAGCCCACGTTTCAAGGCTACACTGCTATGTGAATGGAGTGCACATACATTTTGTCTTAAACTCACTGTTCACCGAGAAGCACCAAGGGCACCTCATCTCTGCCCTATAATGGCATGTGAAAACGGAAACGTACAAATTAATTATTTCTCCTTTTTTTTCCACTGAAGCTGTAGCCTATTAGTATAAGCAGATTTTGAAATGCTGAAATGATTTTCAGATTCTGAAAAAAAACCTAATTAAATACATAATGGTGTTATTCAATTTTGTCTTAGTTCTTTTGGGTTATCGAGTAGATATAGAACCAAAATATTAATGATATTTAGAATTATTGGGAACTAATTAAAATTCTAAAAGTAAAATACATCTTTAAGTAAAAGAGGTACGTGATAAGGTGGTGATGATGATCATAATAATGAAAATCCATGAATCTCAGGGCCAAGAGTGAAAACAAGACAACGTGAAGATACTGGGTCACTAAATAGTCACTAAATAGACTAAATAGTCACGGTATTTCCCTTATACTTTTCAATGTCCCTCTTAATTAGTGTCAGTTGGGTGAGTGTCAGTTTAACTTGTATCAGTTAAATTTGATATCCATTAATAACATTCTCACAAGGAAAGTTTTTCGGTTTATAAAAGATATCTTTCAGAGTTGAACTAAAGCTGGTAGTGTGCTTTGCAGCCCCACCAGGTTTGATAAATGTTATGTATATAAAACCTTGGTTCAGATCTCTTCAGTGCATTTCCAGTTTTGAAATGAAGAAAGTAAAGCCGCACACTTTCCTTCCTGAATTCAGTTTCTTTACCTGGAAGACTAAGAAGTGTACGGAGATGACTTTTCTCTATTACAGGATCAAATGGAGCGACTTGCAGATAATGTGACACTTAAAGAAGCATACGTTTTCAAAACATGCAGAGCACAAGTTACATTTAATTGATTCTACACCACAACAGAGAGACTACAGGGACATTGGTGAAAGAAGCAAACTGGAACTTCAACAAACAGCTCACTTCTTATCATCAGCAACAAAGAGGCATTGATCTTAGTGGTTCAAAATGTTCCATAAAGTCGAGTTCTGAAAATAAATCAACAATTGTAATTTTTAATTCAGGTTCCAGTGTACCCCTGTATAAGCATCTCTCACATTGTTCTGTGTGCTGCTTGGCACTGGAGCACATTTTATACTAATGGCATTATATTATTTATTTATTGACAGTCAGAGTGGACAGTGAGAGAGAGAGACAGAAAGAAAGGTCTTCCTTTGCCGTTGGTTCACCCTCCAATGGCCGCTGTGGCTGTGCACCGCGCTGATCCGAAGCCAGGAGCCAGGTGCTTCTTCCTGGTGTCCCATGCGGGTGCAGGGCCCAGGGACTTGGGCCATCCTCCACTGCACTCCCGGGCCATAGCAGAGAGCTGGCCTGGAAGAGGGGCAACCGGGACAGAATCCGGCACCCTGACTGGGACTAGAACCCGGTGTGCCGGCGCCGCAAGGTGGAGGATTAGCCTAGTGAGCCGCGGCGCCAGCCACTAATGGCATTTTAAATATATTATGTGGAGCTCTTGCTTCTCAAAATTAATGATCTCTCAACACTAAAATGTTCATTTTAGCTGGACCTTTCAACTCTCTTTGAGCAAATTTTAGTTAGGCTCCGCCAAACCCTGTTCTCCACTGGGCCTTGTCCTTGGCCCTGCCCTTTGCCTAGGCAAAGAATCCTGCAGAGTGAGTTTCAGAACAATCCCCATGCTCACTGCCTCCTCTTAGTAATCTTCCACCCACTGAGCCACATGCTCTGCCCTTTGGCCGTAACTCTCAGCTTTCACAGAGCTCCTCATGCTCTGTGTGGAGAGCTGCCCACGAAACCTTATTCATACTTTCTGCCACTGAGGGGCCAGGTGCTGCCGGGCTTGCAGGATGGGAATTGCACACAAGTGTTCAGGGATCCAGGCACATTACCACGAGTAGCCAGCCATCCTGACCATCTGCACCTCGGCAGCTGCTTGGCTAGCTGGGCAGGTGGTGGAAGGGTGATGGGGGAGAACAGTCACTCTGCCTTTTCTCTTCCCAGTCTGATGCTGTGGGTTCAGAAGCAGCAGTCCATGTTTCAGAGAAACCCTGAGGTATGGGCTCTGGCTTTTAGATAGGTGTCAGGCAGCTTAATGCACCAGAATCTCATTCAGTTAAAAAGCTATCAATAGCCTGGACTCTAGTAATTAATGTCCCTTATGCCTTGACCCAGTGGCTCAGCCATTCCTGTTGAAAATCCATGCTCTATTACAAATCTAACTTTACTTGATATCCCAGTGCTCACTGGCCTACATAAGAATCCAACATGCTGAGAATTGTTTTCTACCTAAGAGGCAGGACAGTTTTCTACCATTATGAATAGCAAAAAAGATTTCCTTTCTATCCCTCCGCATAGCTCGTCACCTTCCTGGGCCTTGGTTGGCTATTGGTTCCCTGAGAATTCTTGAGCTGTGCTCTCCAATGGGAGTCACAAGGCATGTGTGGGTATTTAAATTTGAAATAATTATAACTTATATAAAATTAGAGATCCTTTGTCACGCCTGCCACATAGCAACAGTCCAGGAGTCCACTTGGCTCACAGCTGCCACACTGGAGGACACAGACACAGAACACTTCCATGATCACAGAACTTTCTGTTGGGAGTGCCTGGGAGAGGGATGCTTCCATAATCGCTATGACACAGGGTGGCCTGGGAGCAGAAACACTGAAAAAGAACCAACAGAGATGGAATCTACCTGAGTGCCCTCTGCTACGAGTTACGATATTTGGGTTAAAACATCTCAGCTGCCACTGCTGGCACATGGGCCTGGCTACCAGCTGACCCCTTTGTGTGGCTGTCTATTAAAATCACAACAGAGAATCTGGGTTGAAGGGTCTGGGATGGCGGCAGAGAACCAGCACCACAGGGGAACCCTGTGTGGTAGATGTGCTTGGGAAGTACCGGTGGGGCAGGAGGCGGCTTGTTTCATCGAAAAAGCTTTTCTGTAACTGGAGAGCTTTCCTGGAGCAGAGGTGCCATTGTGTTCTGTAGAAAAGCCTGCTGGATCTCTGGCTTCCCTGGGGCACTGCTGTCTAGGCAGTCCCCAGGCTAACCTAGAAGAACTTTGGAGAGAAGCACAGTTCTCCCTTGTTCACCCAGCTATTGGCGACATGCAACAGCAAATCTCTTTCCCTCTCTGACGATTCTCTCTGCAGTTCTGCCAGAATGATTGATATGGTTCATCCTTATGCTACCCCTGGGGTCTTTCACCATTTTGGAGAATAAACAGCCATCAGGGAAGAATTATTCCATTTATTTTCTGTAGACTTATAGCTAATTTATGCTCAAGTCCTGAATTTTCCTCACCATACAGGTTGCTTATTTACACTAGTATATAAAATATAGATAAAATCTTACAATGAAGGATTAAAGAAGATAGGGACTATTATAGTCATTTTATTTCACTTAATATTTTTTCAGTAAAAATCCAAATTTTCCTATTAATTTTGACACAAAACAGATATACAAAGTATTTGGATGAATAGTATGGCTCATTGCTTTCATTGTTGCTGGGGAAAATAGAACTTTGAAGGCACAAAAGAATATAACGCAACTTAAATCAATATCACAGTGATGACCCAGGCAAGATTTAGATCTCACCCAGTAACATTTAGTCTCTCCAGGCAACAGTAAAAATATGGTTAAAATAATATTTTAATGTAATAAAATATTTGACAATAATCCTACCTTTAAAACTCTTAAGAGGTATATTTTGTGTCACAACAAATTCTTCAAATATGCATTTACACATATTGGTCAGGTTACTGTCATGCATTTTTGTGTACTTCATGGAATTGGTTATACACTGTTTACACATGAATATATTAATAGAGTCAGAATGTTGGTTATCTGCATTTAAAAGACAATCATAACCTTCTTAAGATTAAAAAAGGGAAGCAACGTGAAGCGTGCAGACTCACCTGCCGCCTGTGTGCCTTGCATGGCCTGGGCCCCCTCTGCCGCCCAGGGCACCTCCACTGGCTCTTCAGGATGCACTGCTACTCACATCAGCATTGTTTTCAGATTTCCTCACCTGAAACTCTCACTGCGTGTCCATGGATGTGGTCATGTTCTTTATCTTGCCCAGAACTCCCTTCATTCTTTGAAGTATGGATATTGTGCAGACTTTCGTCTACTGGTATACAACACTGAGAAGAAAAAAATATTTTGTGAATTGAAAACAATATCTGTACTTAATTTCACAACAGTTAATATACTTTTATTGTGTTTGGCATTATGGAAAGCAGGAACTTTAACAACAGTAGAGACTGAAAAGTAGTGTACAACTCTTCATGCCTTTTGTTTCCATAGATGCTACCGGGAAACCCTTTACTTAGGGTAGTGTGAAGATAGAACAGTAGCTCTCCAGCTCCAACCAGTGTCAGCATCACCCAGAGGACTTGTTACAACAGATTGCTGGACTCAGACCTCAGAGCTTCTGACTCAGAGGTGCTCTCCCAAATTAACGGCAGGGACCCAGGTACTTCTACCACCTGTGGTGTGCTTTAGCAGAAAGCTAGAATCAGGAGCAGAGCTGGGATTCAAATCACTCCAAATATGGGATATGGCTATCCCAAGTGACATCCTAACTGCTGTGCCAAATGGTTGTCTTTGTGTATGTGTTGTGTATGTGTGTTTTTTTATTCAAGAGATGGAGAGGGAGGGAGGGGGAAAGGGGTAGAGGGGGAGAGGGGGTGAGGGGGAAAGGGGGAGAGAGGAGGGAGCACTTTCATTCATCTGCTGGTTCACTCCCCAAATGCCCACAATAGCTGACATTTGACCATTACCAAAGCCAGGAGCCAGAACTCCATCCAGGTCTCCCAAGTGAGTGGTAAGGACACAGGATCTATACTGGCAGGGACATAGAATTGAACCTAGGGCATCTGATATGGGATATGAGTGTCTTAACTGGCATCTTAAATGGGAAGCAATATTCCTGTCCCCTTCCTGTAAGTTTTTAAGTTTTTTAAAGATGTATTTATTTATTTGAAAGAGTTACAGAGAGAGAGAGGAGAGGCAGAGAAAGAGAGAGAGAGGTCTTCCATCTGATGGTTCACTCCCCAATTGGCTGCAATGGCTGGAGCTGTGCCGATCCGAAGCCAGGAGCTCCATCCAGTTCTCCCACATGGGTGCAGGGGCCCAAGGACTTGAGCCATCTTCTACTGCTTTCCCAGGCCATAGCAGAGAGCTGGATCGGAAGTGGAAAAGCCGGGTCTCAAACTGGCACCCATACAGGATGCCAGCACTTCAGGCCAGGGCGTTAACCCACTGTGCCACAGTGCTGGCCCTGAGTTTTTAAGTTTAAGTAAAGGGGCCAGCGTATTAATTAGTACCATATTGTCCTATTTTTGGAGAATGTCATTTTAAATATGGAAAGGGGAGTGAGGACAGTCAAGAGAGTAAGCAGACAAGTCACAGATGTGGAAAAAATGTTCATGAAGGACGTGTCTGACAACGGAATGTTACCTGAGACACACCACGGGCTCTTGGAACTCAGCAATAATAAAGCAACTCAGCCTAAAAGTGGCTGACAGGCAGTGTGCACAGGTTTTTTATGTTTAGAAGACAAGAAGTGACTGTGGAAATGCAAATAGGAAGTGACTAATGTGATTAGCCAGCAAAGCAGTCGACAGCAGCACTGAATTCTGACCATGAAATAAAGGAAAATACATAAACTGTGCTAACATGAAAGAGGAGGAAAATAGATGAACCAGGGAAAAGGGGCGAGAAATAGAGGAAAGGAGGAGAAGGAAGAGGCACAGAGTGAGGTGTAAATCTAATAATGCATGATCCTAGATTCAGTCCAGACCAGGAAGAAAGCCTATACTAGGCATTATAATGAAGATGCCAGTTATTTTTTTCTTTTCAATTTTATCTAATAGATATAAATTTTCAAAGTACAACTTTTGAGTTATAGCAGCTCTTCCTCCATAACCTTGCTCCCACCCACAACCATCCCATCTCCCACTCCCTCTCCCATCCCATTCTTCATCACTAAGATCAACTTAGTATACCTAAGTAAAGATTTCAACAGACTGCACCCACACAGACACACAAAGAATAGAGTACTGTTTGAGTAGTAGTTTTACCATTAATTCACATAGTACAATATACAAGGGCAGAGGTCCTACATGGGGAGCAGGTGCACAGTGTCTCCTGTTGTTGATTTAACAATTGACACTCTAATTTATGACGTCAGTAATCACCTGAGGCTCTTGTCATGAGCTGCCAAGACTATGGAAGCCTCTCGAGTTCACCAGCTCCAATCTTACTTAGACAAGGTCATAGTCAAAGTGGAAGTTCTCTCCTCCTTTCAGAGAAAGGTACCTCCTTCTTTGATGGCCCTTTCTTTCCACTGGGATCTCACTCACAGAGATCTTTCATTTAGGTAAATTTTTTTTTTTTTGCCAGAGTGTCTTGGCTTTCCATGCCTGAAAAACTCTCCTGGGCTTTTTAGTCAGATCTGAATGCCTTAAGAGCTGATTCTGAGGGCAGCATGGACAGATGCCAGTTAAATCTGGGTTGTAGGATGGATAATGGGTTGTACTGTTAATAAATTTCCCATTTTTGATAACTGTGCTATGAACACATGAGAGGTATGCATTCAGGAAATCTGCAGGAAGGTATTTTAGGAAAAGGGTCACTATGTCTCCAAGCTACTCCTCTAGAGTTCAGAAACAATCAGTAACATTTGTGGCACACATAGAAGAGGGTACTTCACAGAGCTGTGGGAAGTGTGTATTATGCCTAGCGTGGACCTAGGCTGCACAGTGAAAAGATGTGTTGATTCTGATCTCAGGAAGATCACAAAAGAAAAGGCGATGGCTGGTGCTGCGGCTCACTAGGCTAATCCTCTGCCTGAGGCACCGGCACCCCGGGGTTCTAGTCCCAGTTGGGGCGCTGGATTCTGTCCCTGTTGCTCCTCTTCCAGTCCAGCTCTCTGCTGTGGCCCGGGAAGGCAGTGGAGGATGGCCCAAGTGCTTGGGCCCTGCACCCGCATGGGAAAACCAGGAGGAGGCACCTGGCTCCTGGCTTCGGATCGGTGCAGCGCGCCGGCCGTAATGGCTATTTAGGGGTGAACCAACAGAAGGAAGACCTTTCTCTCTCACTGTCTAACTCTGCTTGTCAAAAAAAAAAAAAAAAAAAAAAAAAAAGGCGAGGCATTCCATGGGACAATTGGGCAGAAGCTTGCAGTGGAAACTGAACAAAAAAAAAGTGATGCTGTGGAGCAGCAGGGAAAGTACAGCCATGCGCAGTGAGCAGGACATCGCCAGTGGCCGCAGGGGACACCATCTTCTTGGAGCCAGGCATCTAGCAACCAGCAGGTGGAAAGCCATGTTAATAAGGTGAATAGAGGCTACTCTGGTCTGTGCACAACTTGGGGTTTTATCAGCGGGATAAATCCACAGTCCCCACTGACTTCGAGTCTGGCCTGGAGGGTTGGAAGGGGGCAGAGCAACTACTTAGGTCCACTCCCCTCCCCTCATTCCATTAAGACACTCAGACTCAGCTTGTCAAGGCAGAGCACTGACCAATCTCTACTGGTTAGACAGCTGGTTCTGGGAACACTCACGGCTCTTTCTGTGGACAGGGAAGCTCGCGGGGCTGACAGCGGATCCCCGGTGACTGTGTGGCTGTGTGACAGGGCATGTTGCAGTGGATTAGTTCTGAGAGGAGGAGCATGGTGGGGGCAAGAGGCGTGGAATCACCACACAGACCCTGGGAGTCAGGTGAAAGTGCGCCAGAGGTGAGCAGCCCGCAGACTCGTTTATTTCAGTTGGTACAGCAGCTTATATAGCCAAGGCAGCCAATCCGGTCAAGGGGCGGTTTATGCCCTAACCAATCACAGCCCATTGCCAGGTGGGTTTTGAAGCCATCCGATAATCACAGCCTTTTGCCAGGCAGGCTCTGTTGCCAGGGGGTTCCCGAAGCCACTCGCTTGCCAGCGGCCATCTTGGCATGGCCTTCTCATTCCAACACAAGGGCATGGCTAGTTCTTTGGGCCATCACTATTCCTGGCTCCAGAGGCTCAAGGTTCCGTATTCACACTGAGGAGCACACAGATCCTTTGTGTGGTTTGTGTGCCTTTGTGGGTAAGGTGTTAAGGCACTGTGGGCTCACCTTGGGTGGTGGGGTTACCTTAACATGAAGAGCTGATGCTGTGATCATGCTAGCTAACATGATCATATCCCCCACCCCCACTACCACTGATGACAGAGATCAGCCACACCCAACTTGGGTATCACTGTGGACTCTAGGCCCACCATTAAGTAAGCATGAGCCAGGGCTCCCTGACCACACCTCATATATACCTATGGAAAATCCACTTAAGAAGCAGATGGTCCATTAAGCCATGGAGACATGTTTTAAAGATAAAAGCTATGAGATGAGAAAAACCATAAATATTTCAATAAATGCCTAAAAATAAATGTAGAAATATAAGAAGCATGAGGGGCTGACACTGTGGTGCAGTGGGTTAAAGCCCTGGCCTGAAGTGCCGGCATCCCATATGGGCGCCAGTTCTAGACCTGGCTGCTCTTCTTCCAATCCAGCTCTCTGCTATGGCCTGGGAGAGCAGTAGAAGATGGCCCAGGTCCTTGGGCCCCTGCACCCACATGGGAGACCTGGAGGATGCTCCTGGCTCCTGGCTCCAGATCAGTGCAGCTCTGGCTGTTGTGGATGTTGTTGTTCATCTGGAGAGTGAAGCAGCAGATGGAAGACCTCTCTCTGTCTCTACCTCTCTCTGTAACTCTTTCAAATAAATAAAATAAATCTTTTAAAAAAACATGAACAAGGAAAATAGTATGATTCCCCAAAAAGAACACAAAAACATGTTAATATTAGAATGTTAAAGATGAAGCGACATGAGTGACATGGATGGAAAATTCTGCCAGGAGATGTAGATACTGAACAGAAATCAAACTGAAATATTAGAAGTTAAGAATTCAATAGATTAAAGAAAAAAATACAGCAGAAAGCCTTAACAGCAGACTTTGTGAGGCAGAGAAAGAATATCCAAGCTAGATGATAAATCTTTGGAAATACCTCAGTCAGACAAAACAACAACAACAAAGAGAAAGAAAGAAAAAATTAGAAAAACCAAAAACAGTGTTTGAGATTTATGGGATACTATCCAACAACCACACAT